CAAACGCCCAGACGCGCCGCACGGTCAGGGCTGGGGGACGGAACGGTGACATTCAGGACTTACCGCGGTGCCGACAAAATCTGTGGAAACAGAAGAGAGGGCGTCAGGCAGGGCAGGGGCACCGCAGCCTGCTCCCACCCTGCCCGGCCTGCCTCACTTTGCAGGTGGCAGTTAAGCCTGTGGGACCCTCGCCCGGCTGCGGGCTGTCGGAGGGGCTGAGCCCCCCAGGCTATTCCCACCCAGGATCCCACCCACGTGCCCTGGGACCCCCGGCAGCGCAGCGCTCACCTTTGCTCTCTGTCTTGAGCTCCTCGTGCAGCAGGTCGTTCTGCCGGTTGCCGAGGACGAAGGCCAGGAAGGAGAGGATGAGGGCGTTGAGGATGCCGATGATGGCCAGGATATAAGCCCAGCGCACGGAGCAGTCGCCCAGGGAGTACTTCCCCGTCTTCTCCCCGCACATGTCCCGTATGGTCTCTGCATCCCAGCCGTCGGGAAAGATCATGCAGCCCAGCACCAGGCAGAGCGCTGCGAGGTGGAGAGGGGGGGAAAGCATCAGAGGGGACACAGGAGTGGCAGTGCTGGGTGCTGAGCCCCCCTGGTGGGTGTGTGACTGCAGGCTGTGCCTAGCAGGGAGCCCACCTTGGCCCCACGACAGCCAGGTGGCACAATGGGTGACAGCCACCACTGCCCCAGCAGCCCCGGGGGGGCTGTGTTCGCTCGTGGCTGCCCCAAACCTCACCCACACACAAATGGGGACTTCAGGGTCTTGGTTTCTTCGAGCATCAGCCACAGGATCAGCGGTTCCCCACGGGCCTTCCTCATCACCACAGGCTCCCTGCATGCTGCAGGCAGGGGCACTGCCTGCCGAAAGGGTTGTCATCCCCAGGAGCCCCTGCACCCAACTGCCTCACAGCGTGCAAGTCTCTGTCCTGCACACTCCGTGCCGAGCAGGGGGACATCAGGGAGCACCGGGACGAACAGGAAGGGAAACGCTGAGACAAAGCCCACGGGCCGTCAAGGTAAGGAGGCGATATTTTTCCTAACTACAGCAAGTACAAAAGCTCCTCACCCTGTATCAGCTGGGAAGGCTAAAAGAATGAAGGATGTTGGAGAGGGGCTGGGGCACCCTGCGAGTGTTGTTGCCCTGGGTTAGGGAAGAACCAAGAGGCTTGTGCCCGCACAAGGAACAAGGTACCTCCCCATCCCTCATTGTTGGAGGGACAGCAAACACTCTGCTGCCACGGCGGCAGCCCCGGGGGACACGCAGCCGGTGGTCTGGCTGGCAAGCTCTCAGGGTGCTGACTGCTCTCGGTAGGGAAGGGAAATCCCAGAACGGTGGGAAAGCGAGCGCAGGGCTGGTGCAGGGCATCTCACCGGGACTCGCAGCGGCCGTCGCACCCCGATGAGCTGCGCTGACTGCCCTCCCCAGGAAAGGGCAGGGATGCCGAGGCGAGTCGCCCTCGGCGGCCCATGCACCAGCACACAACAGCATCCACCAGCTGCTGCCTCGTCTCTGCCTCCTCCATCCACCTTACAAACCTTGGTAAAGGCGTCTTTGCAGACAGAGGCGAGCTCTGCAAGATGATTTACCACCGTACGCGGTCCCGGTGCCACGCTGGCACTGCATGACTGCACAGGAGCCGACAGGCTGGCATCTCCAGCATGGCTGCGTCTGAGGGACCTCCGTGCCCACGGGGACTGGACCAACCCAAACCCATCCCCTCTGGAAGAAAATGGATAATCAGCACCAGCGCTTGCACGGCACAGTAAATGGTGAGGAGCAACCTGGCCCGCCTGCTAACCCGGGCACCTTCAAGCTAGGTGGCCTTTAATTCAGTGGTGAGGAGGAGCAGCAGACCTGTGCCAGCAACTCTTCCCAGGAAAGCAGAGATGCCAAGAGGATTTTAGGATCCACTGAGCTCCCGGTGCAGTGCAGCTGTGAAATAAGCTAAGGTGCTCTGTGGCCACCCCGCGGCGAGGGGGTGGGTTTGCTCCCACAGCGCGGGTCAGGCTGACACGACCCAGCCTGGAAATGGGCACGGCTGTAACAGCTCTGCTGAAATCGGTGAGGAGGAGAAAAGAGCTGCGAGTGCACGGGGAGGCTGGAGGAAAGCACGGCAAGCAGCGAGGCAAGCATTCCAGCTGCCTGGGTGGGCAGCAGCCTGCAGCCCAGGAGAGAAGAAACAGGGATGAGCTCCAGGGTGGCAGAAGGCAGCAAATGTAAGTAAAAAACCAACCAAACAAAAAAACAAGCGCCAGTTTTACCTGCACCAGCAAGGGCTCAGGTGGGCTCCCGGCTCTTGTGCACGGCCCTCGGTCCGTCCTTCACAGGAGCAGAACGGCAGCCCCTGGGTCTTTCCTTGGACTCCGCTAGCATTGATATTTCCTCTGCATTTCTGAGCATTTATTTGGGCTCCAGGTGGATCCCACTGCCCAGGTAAAGCAGGAGCTCACTGAGAGCTCACCACTCTGCAAACACCACAGGTGCACGCGTGAGGGTCTCCTAGGACATCAGGAGGTCCCAAATGGGGCAGTGACACTGGAGGCAGTGGATTAACGTGCTGGAGGGCTACAGCACTCATGGAGGACGCGAGAGAGAAGGGTTTAAGGTGAAAGCAGAGAGCAGCTCAAAAAGGTATGGGAAAAACATACAGTACATGAGCCATTGGTGCAGTGGGTTGTCACAACAAAGCCACAGGGGACAGGCAGCCACGGCCACAGCCAGGACCACTGGGGCCGGCTCTAGCTGGCATCTGCCTGCCCTCGTCCCTCCTGTCCCTGTGTGCCTGCTCTGCACTGGCTCATGGAGCAGGTCCAGGAGCTCTGCCCGAGATCTCACAGCCCGCTTGCCAGAGAGAATTAAACTACAAATCTACTGCCAGGGCAAAGGAGTGTGCCCGAGTCACCGCATGTACCCAAATGCCTCTGCCCAAGGCTGACCAGCCTCTTCCTGGGCTGGGAAGCGTGAGGGCTCAACACCCCTCGCTGCTCTGCAGCTCCCCAGGAAGGACCCACGCCACAGAAGGCAGGTCCTCTCCCAGAGAAGAGCAGAGCAGGTCTCTCCTCTTCCCCTCTGTCCTACACGTTCCCCGCAGCAAGCCGAGTCCTCTGCTCTGTCACAAGCAATTCCCTTTTCCGTGTGTCCCCAGGCCGCCCCATGTCCTGGAAACACCTTCCCGTGCCTACAGTGAGGAGTGACATTGTAGCACAGAGCAAGAACGAGGAGGGGATCCCTGCACAGGCAACAGACCCCAGCGCTGCCCTTTTCAACAAGCCCCTCACAGCAGGTCTGAGGGGCGTGAGGATGGGGTGCTGCCGCCCGTCCCTCTGCCCACAGCACCGTTCCACCAGCATCAGCCTCCAAGGTCCCTTGCAGACCTGCAGGAAAACCTTGGGTTTTGTTTAAAACAGCCTATTTATGCCTTGCAACCACATGAAAAACACCAAGTGATGATTCCTATAAGAGCTGCTATTAAAAAGGGAAAAAAATAACCCAGCTCCCATTTATTTTGCTCTTGATTCCCCTTCTTCTGCGGCTGTGGTGCCAGTCCCCACTGCCGGTGGCACCGAAGACAGCCAGCTGCTTCATCACACCCCACAGCTGCCATCCCTCCCCCAGGCCTCAGGCTCCAAGCTCCCTCTTCCAGTTTTCCCAGTTGGAAAGATGGATTTAGGGCATTTTGGTGATCACCGGGGCAGGGTATGTGTGGAGGGAGAACAAACCAGCTGCGGTTTGCAGGGCTGCCCACAGGATCCTGCTGGGGCTGGGGCTCTGGCCCTGGGGAAACAGGCATTTCTCAGCTTGGTTTTGCAGCTGATTCACAGCTTCCCACTCGTCAGGGCCCCCTAGAAATTAAATGGGCATTTCAAGGGCTTTTGATATCTTTGCAAGAGAAATTAATTGAAGGGAATTCAACGTTATAGCTCAGGCTGCAACACTGGAGCAAGATTCTAGGAGAGAGGGATGAGGAGGCTCCTCCTGGCAGGATAACATCCCCTGGTAGAAGGTACATTCAGCTAATTTGGACCATCTGAGTAACCCGTGTGTTTGCTGAGCACCACAGTTATTCCAGCACCGCCACAGTCCCCTGCAGTTGTGCCTGCAGGATTAAAATCTCGGTTTTTAATCATTTTTGCTGCCTAGTTTATTCTGCAGGTTTGGGTGAAGACTGGCTTTTACTGTTCTCATCCGCCATGGGTGGAAGGGGCTAAGGACATGCCCTGCAGCTGAGAGACGTGGCCTTCCCCCGAGCGTGGGCATGCGGAGCATCACACTGCCACAGGACACGCGTGGGACTGAAAACCAGAAAATGTGGGGTACGTGGGGGGAAATCAGCAACTGCTGGGTCCCAAAGGAGTTCGTTAAACCTGGCTTGGTGACAGCGAGGTCCCCTGGGCATTGGCTTGCTCTCCCTCAGGTTCAGCGAGCTGGCTGTCCCCTGCCCTCATGCACATCGCCCCACTGTCACCACAGACACGTCTCTCTGCCAGGGGTGTTTTGGTGACCCGCCCCAGCCCCTCACATCTACCTCGTGCCGAAGGGGAGGAAGCTCTGGGTGCCATATCCCCCACTGGGCCCACAGCCGCTCGCCGCAATGCCGTGCCATCTCACATCGGGGGTCCCTGCTGGAGATCCCCACCACGGTGCCCCTGGGCACTGCACACCAGCCCCGAACCACCCCCACCAGGGGAACAGGGGCTGTGCCGTGACTTGGGGGTCTGGAGTGGCTGCTTCTCACTAGGAAACCTCCTGAGAACTCAGCACCAAAAGGGACAAACACAGCATACCCCCACCCCCGCTGAAAAAAAATAGAACTCCCTCAAAAATAGATGAAAATTAAAGGCAGCATGCTTGAGACAGCTAGCACCGGCCATTTACACAGACAGGAGCTCCCTTACGGCATTTTGCTCCAAAGGCTGTTTCCGAGCCAAAAAATCAGCGGGATTCAGAATAGAGTTATGAGTTTGCATGAATCAGAACTGACAGTTACTTTATCTGGAACAACAGTCAAGGGATGTAAGCTCCAGGACACGAGCAGCTCCGAAACGCCCGGCTCAGCCCCTCCCTGCGCAGGCACATCAACAGCTACTACTGGAGAGCCACCCTGCCTTCCAGAGCCCGGGGCTGGCTGCTGCGGAGCACAAGGCACTGGGCGGACATGAGGTCTGCATCGCCTCCCTGCTTCTGTCCCTGCTGCACGACAGGAGTGGCAGGGGAGGGAGAGGAGAAATCCTCAGGAAAGCTTTTCTTTGGCACCAGAAGCTGGTAATGCAGCAAAAGCAAACGTTTTTTGCAGTGATGTCTTCTTTTTGCTGCAAGGTCAGCAGGTGGAAGCACTTCACCTGGAAGATCACGTATTGGCAATATTTCTCCCTTGGGCAGAGAAAGGGCTCAAGGCTACTTCACCCTCGTTCCCAGCAGCTGTCCCAGCTCTTCGCTGGATTGGAGCAGCGGTGTGTGTCTCGTTTTCTTCATTGAGAATTTCAATGAATGACTTTTATATCCATGAAAACAATTTTTTTGAAACCTCAAACTCCCTCTGAGAGGAGCTGGCTCTCCAGCAAGTCCCAGTCGGGAAGACAGGCCTGTCCTGATGTGGCTCAGGAGAGCCACTGCATTACTGCCCGCACTGGGGAGGGTTCGGGGGCTGCGGCGTTCACTTGGGCCAGACGCTGCTCTCCCCTAAGGCTGCAGCTACCCCGACACACCACGCAGCTCTGCCTGGCAGCTGGCAATGGGCTCCCTAAACACTCCTCTCCCCGGACGTGCCGAAACGCTGCCGTACAGCTGCGCCGTGTGAGGGGTCCCAACTCGGAGGTGACAAACCCAGCTTGGGTGCAGAAGATGAAGCCGCTGAACAGGGCTCTGCCTCTGCTCCCATTCACGAGCTGGCGGGTGGGAAGGGCCCATCCGAGAGGTGAGTGTGGCTCTGAAGGGGGTGTCCCAAAGGAGAAAAGGGTTGGGATGGATATGTATTATCACGTTCTCCATCAGGCAAGGTGCCTGGACACAGCGCAATTAACTCCCAAGTGCCACTGACGAAGTCAAACCCCAGTTCCATGGCCAATGACATGGCCCCGGGTGGAAAGGCTCCCCATGTGTCATGCTTGTGGAGCCGGCAGGTCTCACCACACTGACTGCCAGACTTGAAGCGTGGGGAAACACCTTCGAATGTGGCCAGTCGCTTCCTCCGTGCAAGAGGGCTTGTGTGCTCAGCTGGCTGCTCTTTTGACCCTCAGCAGACAGCAAGTACAGAACCAAAGCCCCTCTGAAAAGAGAGCCCCGGACCCGCTCGGAGTGACCATCCCCACGTCTTAAGTCACAGCAGAGAATTAGGGAATCGGAGGAAATGCTCAGGCTCCTGGGCAGCAGCCTCAGTGTGTGGTGGCGGTGGTGGTGTATTCCTGGGCTCTGGTCTCCAGCAGATGACTGCTACGTGGTGGCTGGAATGGAGGCACCCACAAAATCAGCCCAGATGCCTTTGTCTCGCTCCTGCACCTGCCCTCCATAGGGGGCAGACGAGAGGGCTCACCCATGCAGCCCATTTCTCTTCAAGCAAGCATCATCCCATGGGACTTCTGAAGGAGCTCCTCCACTAATTTTGAGGACTGGGGTGGCATCCGGGTGCTGTCAGTCATACAGTTGTTGACATGCTCACGTTAAAGGCCCAATCTGGTTTTGTAACAGAAGGATTTAGCAAAATCTCCAGTTTTGCGTTACTGGGATTTCGAACAGGGCAGATGGCTACATTTCTATTTGCAATAAAGCAGAGTCTTTCCTCTTAATTAGATCCAGTTTCCTCCTAGGGGGGCAGTGGCTTTTGAGCTGGAGCTTTCTGTGAAGCTCTAATTAAACCCTTCCTTGATTGTCGTCCACTAATTAGACATTGATGATTTAAACTTTTTTTTCCTGAAAGAGATACTAAATTCCTGATCATCCTCCTCTCCTCCTCCCCCACCTTCCTGCTCTTGATTTTTCCTCTTCTGAAGAGTCCATTCATGCCCTTGCTCAGCAGCCCTGTGTTCTGCACCGGACATCCCACAGGGTCAGAGTGCACCCAGCTCTGCCCCATCTTTCTGCCTTTCACCTCGTTTACCTGGTTTTCACCAGCGAGACCATGAAACTTTGGGCCTCACTGTTGCTTCTGCTGTAGTGGTGCAAGTCCTCCTTCAGCTAAAACCTCACTGAGGCAGGAGGAATGCCTTTCCTTTCTCTGCCCTTCCAAGCCCTCTGCTCTGGCACGGCCCTCCCACCTCGCAGGCGGGTGAATCTCCCAAGTCTGCCATCATGCTGTGCTGGAGCCTGTGTCGGACCACATCCCTTCCCTGCCTATGGGATTGGGCCCACAGTGTCCTCTCCGTCAACCACGGCAGCTCCTTCTCCACGCGCAAGGTAACACATCCACCCATGGCTGCCTCTGACAGGCCCAGGGATGTTCGGCCCTGCCCGGCTGCCCTCCCAGATGAGGCTCCCTCTTGCCAGAGACACATCGCCTCTGTGTTCTGGCCCTCCCTGATGGTGACACCAGCCTCTCCTGCACAACAGGAGCTCATCTCAGGGCGGGGTGGATGGCCACTCTCTGTTAATGCCGTCTTGGACTTTCCCCAACACAGAAAGGCCGTCTAGCTGTGCTGCTTTGGGTGAGCTCCGAGTCAAGCCTGGGCTGGCTGGGGCCAGGAGAGCCGGCCCATGGCCCCAGCAAGCCAGGCACTCGGGGTTCTCACGAGTGCAGTTGTGAGCGACACAAGGGTCGCCACAAGGTGCAAACTGTGAGCAGGGTCAAGCCCCAGGGTAGGGCAAGGGGTACCTAGAGGTGGCAGCAGCAGGGTGCTGCCGTGGCCACCCAAGCCTGAGCCAGGGCAGGACAGGAGGCACTGGGGAGGAAGCCCGGGGCTGCCTGCGGTGCAGTGTCCTCCGTTACGCAGCTCCCTGTGCAGCAGCAGCACCGGCCGGGCGCTCCAAGCCACTTGATTAAGCTGCTGACAATCAGTAGGATTTGGGCTCTGAGCTTGCCTTAAACCGGTAAATCTTCGGGACAGGGAAAATTAAAGATGAAGGAATTTCCTGATAAGCCAAGGCAGCTCCAGGTCTGGCTGTGGTCCTGATCTGGGTGAGGAGAGGTCAGGCTTTCCAGCCCAAGCCAGCTGCAAGGGAGAGAGCCAGGCTAGCTGCAAGCCCCTACCATGGGGGGC